AACCANTGCAATGTTACGTAGATGGAAGTAGGCGGTCCTTGAAATTGATTTTATGTGGGTGTTAAAGGATAAATCCTGATCAAATATAACACCAAGATTCCTTACAGTCTCACTGGAGGCCAAATTAATGCCATCCATAGTTAGTATATCTTTAGATAATTTGTTTCGTAGATTCTTCGGGCCAAGTACAATAACTTCAGTTTTGGTCGTGTTTAACATCAAAAAATTTAAGGTCATCCACGTTTTTAAGTCCTTGAGGCACTCTTGAATTTTTGACTTGCTTATATATCCACCAAACTGTCTTCCTCTTCACCTTCCCATGATAATTGCATAGTTCCGAATCAATAGCGTCGCCTTCTGCCTAATTAGAAAGTCACCAGGAGTGGAATCACACCCAAGGGCATGGAAGAAAGAGTGCAAGCTTTGCTATCTGATAAGCCGTTGCCAAAGCCACACTCGAAGGCAAGGTGAACGTCCTGCAGCTACCGAGATATATTAAACAAGAGATAATCTTGAAGATGGGGACAGCAGGACACAGTTTCGGACGAACCATCCTCAAAAAGTATCCATAATGTTTGTCCCTTCCTGAAAAGACAAAAAGTGTGTTTGGCTTCTTTCTCACCAATAACGTTACATTACCATTATAACATTATCCAGCGTGATCTACTGTCTTCATCATGAAGTATACCCAGCAAGCGATTCTAGATGTTTCCTGTCATTATCTTACATGATATTAAATACATGTCATCTATCATGTCCTCGATTGCCTTTATGACCCAAAATGTGAGAATAAATATGTGGCCCCGCATGACAACAAAGAGCAGAGTCTTTATTGAAGAGAAAACTGAAAGTGGCTAAAAATACTGCCTGCTATAAGCCAAGGGAGTATTTCTGGTCATATTAGCTGATGGGAGTAAAGTGGGGTCAAGTAAGTCTACAGAGGAGGGGAAGCTCAAACAGAAACTATATATCAGAGCATCTAAGATGTATCCTCTTAGTAAATATGGTTATTTAAGTTTCAAAACATACAAATATGTTATCCTTTTAGTATTATTATACATTTTAATAATACAAAATAAATAAAGGTTGATTATTAATGATATTTAATCTGCATTCACAAAATAAAGAGCATTTTGTTCTTGTTCTATTTTTCCCTTCAAAATGAATGAGACAGCCTCCTTTACTTCAAAGTCAAAACACATTTTGACAAATCCTCACTGAGAGGTGCTGTGCAAGATTAGATAGTCTATGCACAAGAGTTTTAAAATCAAATAGGAAAAAAAGACATTTCAGTCTTACAAAGCCCTGAGCACAAGTCAAATAGATGAAAATGTCCCTGACAGGGTAAAATCACAGAGCCACACCAAAAAAACAGATTTCCTCATGAAAGCACTAGAATGTAGTGTAGATAGATGGCTTGGTGATGATCCTAAACCAAATATCTATGCACATGTTTAACAGTTATTGCACCAGTGAGGTAACATTGAAACGCAGCAATGCTTTTTTGTTTTGTTTCAGTGTTGTTAAATATGTTTTGCCTTATTGTTCTATGACATGGATGTAAAAATAAACAGTAGAGAAAGCAGAGCTGAGGGTTACAAGAGAGAACAAGTCACTGTTCTTTGGATGCTGAGGAGATGAGGGAAATGTTGCTTTTCTGAACTCAATCTGTCTCTATTTTTGGCTTTGAACTATTTTAAGGCCACTGTCCAATATGGGCACTCCTCAGAGCACTCAGTGGGGAGAAACTAAGTTCAGGAATTTGCTGAATCAGAAAAGATTGTTTTGAAAAAGAGTTGCTTGTGAAAAAAGAATTACTTAAAAAAGATTATTGTTGGTATAACTTGCAGTGTAAAGTATTATTTTAATCCACAAGGCAGCATTTAGACACAGCTTGCTCCTTCTGATACATCAATCAGCTTGTCTTGCTCTTCGATTCAGATGTTGATGATGTTTTCAATCCATTTTCCAATTCCCATCAAAACAGTCCTTCAGGATTTGATAGAATATTGGTTTTATGAAAGGAGTTTATGAAAAGTAAGCCTGTCAGTCCTGTCTCGTGTCTGCCACCTGTGATTGCTGTCAGTACAAGACATTCCATTTATTTTAAAGAAGTAAAATAGAGATTTTTCTAACATCCACTTTCTTTGCTGTTATTTTGAGTTATTCTATTTATATTGCTTCCCATCTTACTTTCCCCCTTGGTCTTTTGACCCTCTTATCTTTTCTCTCCTCCAATCCTTGCTTGCTCTCCCATCGTATTTCAATGATAAGAAGGGGAGAAGCAGCTGGTTCCTTATTCATCCGTGAGATTATCAAAAACGCTGCGTAAGCCAATTCCATTAGCCATTTAGACAGGGAGGGTGACCGGAGGCATGTGGAATTAGGCTTTCACACTCAAACACGTAAACATAATAACACACACGTACACATATACCTCCAGTGGTCCAACACATGAAACAGGGTTATGGCATTTTCATGTAGGGACAGGATGAAAATAGAAAGAGGGCCATGAGCTGGACAGACAGAGGCACAATGAGTCAGTGGGCTGATAACACAGACGGACTGAATCAGTTTGTGTGTGTGTGTGTGTGTGCGTGTGTGCATGCGTGCGTGTGTGTGTGTTCTTTCAAGGAGGAAACAACAGAGATGAAGTCAGAGAGATGATGTTGTCAGGTTTTTAGGGGGTTAGCTGCAGGTGGTGTTCACCAGTCCTGCAGGTCCCAGTGGACGTCCACAAACTGTTCTTCATATACCCCAAACACAGGCTCAAAATAACTCATGCCCCTGTATCCCAATTAGATTTAACCTCTCAGTTTCTCAGCCGTCTTCTTTCACAGCATATGTTTTTGATCAGTGTTGCTTGAGTACTGGATTGTGTTAGAAAGCCTCAGGGAAAATGTTTGTTTGAAAAGGGGTTTTTCTTTTTCTTTGTTTATTATTTCAAGAAAATGTATACCAGTTTTACATTTACGTTTGCCTTTTGTTGCCATTTATAATGAAAATTATTCAAATGTCTGATCAAGTAAACAAAATAGGCATCTGAATCGTATCTAACATGGATTCAAATCAATGAGATGCTGCAATGGCCAACAGCCTTACACGAACAGTCACAGCAATACTTAAATCCATATGATTATACGTTTCTGGCTCGCAACATGAGGAGAGGAGTTGACAGAGGAGAAAGACTTCAGTCGTGTGATCTGTGAGACTTGGCAGCAATGGCTTTTCCACAAGGGAAACACTGTCCTCTTGTGGTAAATGTACTGAGATGCAAGATTATCAGGAATATGTACACAAATAGGTCCACTTGAGAGATAACAAATGAATACAGGGAAGGACTGGTAATGATCAGTTTTTGAATATGCTAATTCATCCTTACTGTAGTAATTGACAAATGAAGGGGCACGTACAAGAACACACGCCACCACTATCAATTGTATGCAGTTAAACAACAAGCGTCCAAAGGCAAGACAAGTTTAAACAGTTTTGTAATCCTGACTTTCATATTGCAACCAAATCTTGGTGAAACTAACCAACGCCGAACATGAGCGTGGGCACGCCCTATTCGGAGTGGTGTGCGCTGCACCGTCGGGTCTTTTCTGCCGACCTGACGCCTTTTCTTGCCGATTCAACATGGGAACACCACCGGAAGTCGGACAAAGGGATAACACTGATTGGCTGTTCAGCTAACGAATCAGTGCATGAGAAGCGTTAACGGAAGTGAGGGAGGTAAACAAATGATTTAAAATGGAAGATGGAACACACACGGACGGCTATTTCACCTCATCGGCTTATAGAGCTCCTGTTCGTTCATGTTTTCAATGGACGAGAGCGAAAATGGAAAGAAAAACGCTATTTGTTGTTTGTTTATATCACGGAGTCTGTTCTTCTTCTCTGTCTTCCGGTTGTTCCGGTTGTTGCCTCTTTTGAATGATGAATACACACTACCGCCGCCTGCTGGTAAGGAGAGTTATTGCCACTCACGCATGCGCAGTTCATACGCGCTCGGCTCGGATTTGCGGTGTGTTCCAGTGCGCGAAGTCGGCAAATACGCAGGAGAGTCCGGCGACGCAACAGTCGGTGTCGGCATCGGCGACTTCTCAGGTGACTGGCCGGTGTATCTGGGCCTTAACAGACGTCTGCTTCAGCCAGAGGTGGCGCTGGATCTGTGTCACCCACGCGGAAATCCTCACTTGGGAGATGGCTGAAGCAGACGTCTGTTAAGGCCCAGATACACCGGCCAGTCACCTGNAAATAATACACAGTAAAAGTACTTCAATGTATTGTTAGTAGCAGGCTAACTAATAAACAGTCAAAGAGTATGAATATCATTAAGAACTATAATGGTAAGATTTTATTTGTATCATTCATCAAAGATAGCAGAAAACATGCATTATAAACTATGGAGGGGACTCTGACAGAGGATTATTCACACCGTAAAAGTTGTCAATTTTAGACACAGGCTTATTATATTTACAGCCCGTAATAACATTCATTTTCTGGGCTCAATATATGTCTTGTCCGTTTTCGTTGTGATCGCTAAATTCACCTAGTTTCCCCTTGTTTATAATATTATCACCGTTCCAAGCACACGATTGCTTTTGTTTTGAAATCACTTCCGTGAGTTTCGCCCCGCCCCTCGCTCCAATGACCATTAGACCATTTAGTAAGGTAAAAAGCAAAAACGTCTCTCAGATGCTCTTCCGTTTAGGTGTTTAATTAAAAAAAAAATTGGACGGTAGATACACGGATTGCGGACTATCGTTGAAATAGCAAAAGTCATATTAATCAGATAAAATATCAGAATTTATAATCTGGATATTCAATGATAGGGTAGCTTGTTTGACTCAAATAATAATAAGTAACATATTTGGTATATTGAATATATCATGTTGAGTATTACCTTAACAAATGAGAATACACAATAGTTTGAGAAATGTGTGAGAATAGAGCATCGTGGGCTGGTGGAGATTTAAGCCGATAAGTACAAGCACTTACTTTTGGATCATGAACAAATGCCCCTCCTTTAGATCCAGGCGGAAGCTCTCCTGCTGTTGCATACTTAAGGCACTCAATAATAGTCTGGAAAAACAAAAAGGTCAAGTCGTATAAAAATAAAAATGTGAGTGTCCAATCTCTACCTGTCATGCTTCACAGTCAACCTTTGCTCTCTCAAAACATGTTCTCTTACCGTTTTCCCTGCTCCATTGGGTCCAACTAGCACAGTCAGTGGAGTGAAGAAAGTAATGACTTGTTTGTCTTTATCCTCTATCCCAAAACTCCTCACCCCTAAGATGCTCATCTTGTCTATCTTTGACATGTTTGCTTTCTGAAAGAGAAAGAGAATGACATACATCAGTAGCAGTCATACAAACAGGCAATGCCAAGCCAAATCACTTCACTGTGAGCGACTTTTAATTCAGAATGCCACCTAAAACTAATGAAAAAGTGAAGCCCCGTTACATAGGTATCTGTTGATTTGCTGACTTTGGCATTTGGTTTTCTAGTTGGTTTAGGTTTTCACTTAACAAAATTGGTCATAACATACCATACAAATATAAGTTATGATTAGGTTAGCAGATTCGTTTACGTGACGAAAGTGTTATAAAAAGTCGATTACGGAAAATATGGTCTCTTAACAAACAGTAGTAGAGTAATACATGCAGTGTAAATAAAATAATAAAAACATAGAAAAGCTCTGTAATGCCAAGTTAATGTTCTTTGAGACGTACGTATGAGGTTTAACAAAGCTACTATAATACCTTTTTAATTGGTTAATGCCATAAGGCAGTATCATAGTGTGCATGTGTTGATTGTTTAATGTTTACATGTGTAACGTTAGCTAACATGTGTGGAAAGCTAACAAATGTCAGCAGGCTAGCTTACAACTTAGTAAGTTCGGCTATAGGCTAAGTTGCGGTGTTTGACAATTAGCGTCTCACTTACCAAAAGAGTCCCCCTGCGTGCAGTAAAACAAGAATGGTGTTAGCCTGTTGCAGTCTTATACAGTTGTTCATTTGTTGTGAATTAACTTACCTGAGTGCTGTTGTGTTGCAGCAGACCTGAACGTTTTCGCGCTGTGAGAGAACGTGAACAGAGTCGACTTCTGACGACTTCCGGGAGAGGGAACTTGCACATAGAATCAAAACATATAGAACGGTAATGCAATGCAAACTGTTGTAGGGACTTAAGTGTACAGTATGTACTGCTCTACTGACAGGTTTAATACATCCCTGGGCCTGTGAGACATTTGAGCCGAGATATGAGTAGCTTGACAAGTTAGGAAACAGTTGATAAAGTGTTTTACTCGACCTCCTGAATGAACAGTAAACCAACACAGTCCCACTCCGTGCGAGTCAAAAACAGAAGCTTGGTCAGGGCCCTAGACTCGGGCTTTTCACAATTAGATTAGTCTTACATGAAAAAGTGCTTTATGAGTTGACAGAAGATAGTAGGGCCTGCAGTTGGGATTTTAATTCACAACATTCAGGTTACAGAGCGTTTCCCAACCAGCTGAACTCCCAGGACACAGGAGAATTCAGGTGTGAATATAATAAATTGCTCACTATGGTTGCTCTTATTTGTTGGGCTGCAGACAAGATTTATAAATAGCCTACTGTCTATGGTTTAAGGTTGTGCATAGAATCCAAATATATAGCACTGTTGTGCAAACTGTTTTAGTGCACTGCTGGCTGTTGACAGTTTAAACATCTCTGGGCCCATGAGACATTTTATCTGAGATATGAGTCACTTCACAAATTAGGAAACATTTGATAAAATATTTTACTCAACGTCCTAAACCAAGACCAAACGTGTCACAGACAATTTGGGTCAGATTGGGACTAACTTCCTCTTATGAAACTTTTTGATTCAGATGCAAATTCAATTGGTTGCTCCCAAAGATTGTTTATAAACGTTGCTCCACATTTGTTTAGCTTCCAAGCAGGCTTAACATTATTTAATGGACACATGCATTACAAAATATTAAAAGGTTTGGATTGGTTATCTCTTAATGGTTTCTTTAAAATCCTAACAAACAATAGTTGTTTTGTTGTTTTTAGAACTGAGTTTACCTACCTGTCATATTAAGAGTTGTGTAATGTATTTAACTGCATGGTTTAAAGGTCCCATGACATGGCCATTTCTACTGATCATAATTCAATTTTTGAGGTCTACTAGAATAGATTTACATTGTTCAATGTTCCAAAATCACATTGGTTTCTCATACAGCATGTGTGTGTATTCACTCTCTGTCCTAAATGTCACCAGTAATGACAAACAGATGAGAATGCTGCGTGGGGTCTGGGTGCCGTGTTGGTGGGACGTTGCAAGGCTCGCTGCTCCGCCCTTTGAGGCTCGAGGAGCGGACAGTGTGAGCTCGATTACTGGTGTCGTTTCCTGGTTGCTGCGTTGGGTCATCGAGACAGCGAGACATCGCGGAACTCAGCTGCCATGAGCACACACATACACTCACAGCCAGGTTGTTCGCCCCACAAATCGCCACACACTCACAGCCTGAGAAAAGATAAGGCTTAGTGAGTGTGTGTGCCGGCGAAACTCCGTGGAGTAGCGCGGCTGAAAAAAGATAAGGCTGAGTGAGTGAGTGAGTGAGTGTGTGTGTGTGTGTGTGTGTGTGTGTGAGGACTGAGGAGCTCCACGGATTGGTCCATTTGGTCGTCGTTACGTAACCCAGACCAGGAAGAAAAAAATGGAAAACGAGGCGTTCTGGGGCAGCATAGACAGGTATTTTCTGTGTTAAGTCACCTGAGAAGTCGCCGACGCCGACACCGACTGTTGCGTCGCCGGACTCTCCTGCGTATTTGCCGACTTCGCGCACTGGAACACACCGCAAATCCGAGCCGAGCACGTATGAACTGCGCATGCGTGAGTGGCAATAACTCTCCTTACCAGGAGGAGGCGGTAGTGTGTATTCATCATTCAAAAGAGGCAACAACCGGAACAACCGGAAGACAGAGAAGAAGAACAGACTCCGTGATATAAACAAACAACAAATAGCGTTTTTCTTTCCATTTTCGCTCTCGTCCATTGAAAACATGAACGAACAGGNTTTGACTGTTTATTAGTTAGCCTGCTACTAACAATACATTGAAGTACTTTTACTGTGTATTATTTTAGTAATCCTCTGTCAGTCCCCTCCATAGTAGCTACATAATGCATGTTTTCTGCTATCTTTGATGAATGATAAAAAGACAATTTTACCATTAGTTCTTAATGATATTGATACTGCTGGACTCAGTATTTATTTTTAATTTAACCTTTATTTAACCAGATAAAAAGCATTGAGATAAAATCTCATTTGCAATGCTGACCTGGCCAAGAAGGCAGCAATGTTACACATAACACAAACATATAAAATACAGAGAATATAACTAAGAAAACAAAAGACGAAAAAGCAGTCACTACATTGTGCACATTAGGACAGTAAGAAAGGTGCACTACTTATACCTGCAAGAGCAGCTGGTGGTAAGGACCTCAGACAACTTCAACTTAATACATGCTATTGAGACAAATGCCCTCAGTTTGAGGTGTGATTGAAGGTCATTCCAAGAACAAGGACCATAATAAAAAAGACTCCTTTTCCCAGCCTCAGTCCGCACAGCAGGAACCTGGAAACGTATCTATGCACTGGATCTGAGGTTGTAAGAGTCACAAACTGGAGAAAATCTGGCACATATGTAAGGTGGAAGCTTACCTAAAATGGCTTTATACATGAATAAAAACCAATGCTGCATCCTACGCATACTAAGTGTGGACCATCCAGTTACAGTAGGCTATACAGTTTGCAATGATGAGTCCTATAGGGTGCATTTGATATATATAACGCAGTGCAGCATGGTAGAGTGGTTATGGTTATTAAAATAGTGGGACAGGCAAATGTATAAATAGTATCGCCGCTACCTAAGTCTATTATTGTTTAGACCTCTGTGTTTTGTGAACTTTTGCGACATTTTACTAAAGTATAAAGAATTGAAAAGGAAAACTTCTGAGTTTATGTAAATTAACTGGAAAATAAATAAAATTACTCTATGATTACGCGGGAGTCCTCACCCGTGTCAATTTTAGGACTTTTTTTCCAAATGTCCTGTTTGTTGTTCTTTTCATTGTTTTATGTAGTAGTAACTATTTAAGCTTTTCTACTTCGGTGAATTTCTACTGGGGGGGGGGAGAGGAGAGAGAGACGTCCGAAGGAGTCACCACACACACTCGGCCGAGAACCTTCCTCGAAAACCACACAACACGGCTCCTCCCTTGGACATGGAACGTTCTTTCTGGCCTGGTCGCCGGACGACAGTAAGCACACGGCGAGTTTGTCCACGTCTTCCCGACGTCCTTCGGAGCCGGGGTTGTAGGGAAGAGGAAGACGTAGGACGTCCGCCCGTAGCGATCGTAGATACCTTCCATGATCTTAGTATCTACCTACCCAAAAGATATTGTAGTAATACCCTGTGTCTATCCGTCTTTCAATTGGACTCCTTTTGACTAATAGAAACACACACACACACACACAGGTAGAGTCTGGTCGACGAGTCTCCTGGACCCGGCGACGACCACACAACAAACGTCTCTGCGTCGGGTGAGAGTGGACTTCCTCGACGTGAACTTATGTAGCTGCACCTGTGTGAGGTGGCTATAGGCCGTTGCGCCGATCTTTTGAGGAAGAACACTCAGTGAAGGATGTCTTATGCAAAACTGTTACAAACGTGTGTATTAAGGAGAAGTCAACAGACTGAGAATAGCACCCGAAATTTCCAATTAATATGTCAAAAAGTAGTTATATATAATGCCAGAGTCTATATATTTTTGTACAGAGCTTCACAAAACCGAGCTTGCGGTTTGTCTAGGGGTAACACGTAGGGTATTTAGGGGAGACAAAGTCGGGGACAAAGGTTTCACGACTAGAGACCAAAGAAATCTACTTTTATTCCTCGGTGCGCGGGAGACTCTCTAATAAACCAATTTTTCTTGTGGTACCACGAGATCCTCCTCTAAGTCCAATATTCCCCCCCCCCCCCCCAACGGAAATCAACGACCTAACCCGGATTAACCAATGGTGTTCGGTTTTTTAGCAACACTTAGTATTTCACTGTTTTAGACTAGTCGAGTAAAAAAGTCTGTCTCAAAATATTTTTCCTAGTCTTGTTTTTCTCTCTTAGAAAAAAAGGACTTTGAAAGTCTTAGAGAAAAGTGTCCCCCTGTGTACAGGAGACATATTTTCTGTATTGTTCACTAAACGTGTTTCACTGGAAATTACGACTTTTGTTAGAACAAAGACACAAAAAAGGAGAGTCCACCCGGTGATGGTGTCGATTAAGAAGGTCGTCACGAAGGTGCCTGAGGTCTTGGTATACCTACTACAGATACTTTCACAACGCCACTCCTTTCTACTACACTTTCTTACTTATTTTCGTTATAGTAATTTGGATCCTTCGATATAGACGGAGGGTCGAGTCAAGGTTATTTTTGTACTCTTTGTAATGTGATATTTAGAAGTACATACCGTAAACAACGCGTCAAAACAAAATTTTTTGTGTATCTTCCAAGACCTTTACATTAATTTTTTTTTACATAAACACAAACAGATGTCCTCCTTCTACAAACTATCGTCCTAACATTTGCACTCTGCGGTACGGAGTTAAGAGGTCGTCCCTGAGACTATTTTGACTTGTGTCGGACGGGCATTTCTCCGTGCGGAAGGTCACTCAGAGGAAAAGAAATTATAATATCATTAATAAAACTGTAGACGAAGA